GCTTGGAGCCTGAGTTTGGTTTGTGTCATAATGCAGATATCATCAGCATAGCATATTACGGCTTCGTTTGGCTGAACTGGAATGTCAGCAATAAGCTTGTGCATCAGTATATTAAAGAGCATAGGACTTACCACTCCTCCCTGAGGCGTGCCCAGCTCAAATGATCTCATTCTGGTACTTTTAACTCCCCTAAACAGAACTCTGGCATACCTGTTGGACAGATAACCCTTTATCCATGTCAGGAGGTTACCTTGTATGCCAAAATTAGCTAGTTGCTCAAGTATAATGTCTCTATTCGCTACATCAAAGGCTGATTTAAGGTCTATGAAGGCTGTTTGTGTCTTATCTTTTGAGTGAACAAGATATTCTGCAAAGCATGTCTGTGTGCTACGCCCGGGCATGAACCCGTACAGATTAGGGGCGAGTTTGTCTTTGACTTGAAACATGAGACGGTTTAGAACAACTCTTTCAAGGACTTTACACATACAGGATGTAGACCACACATTGCACTGGCCATATCTGATAATTATCCCTCGGGAGCTAACCCTGCCGTGACCTATCCCCTAGTGAGGTCAGAACATCCAAGTTTCCATTGTGGATCTACATGATATATATATATATATATATATATATATATATATATATATATATATATATATATATATATATATATATATGTTAGCGGGAGAGAAAAGGAGAGAAGAGAAGACGGGAATGCTGCGTTTAGCAAAAGGGGTAAGATGCAGTTTCTTAGAACAAAAATTTAGGGGGGTCGTATGTATGGTTTCTCAGCACATGAGGACAGTGCTGTCTTTTTTTAGGGGGGTCGATTGTAATACTCAGAAATTTCAGAGTAATTTCAAATGCCCCGCCATTAGCGATACTGAGCGTTCAAGGTCATCTGAGGGGAGAGAGCGCTGCCTGCTCATAGCGAGAGATTGCGGAACTAGGCCTATATGATATTAAATGTAATTCACCGAATTAATAATGATGCGATTCATGAAGTAAGGGACTATTATTGAATTTGAATTATTATAGATCGTTTATCAGTCTGAATAATGTTACAGGTGTCCCAAGGAGTTATTAGTTAGGCGGAAAATATGTCACGTAGACCTAAGCTAACGCCTTGAGGAGACGAGACTCTGGCTAGGTCTCAGTCGCGGGAAGCATTCACACAGACAAGACGTCCCTGCGCGTCTGTCACAGAAATAGTCACGTGGCCTAGTCACCTGTGCTGCGCTATGGCAGTATAACAAGTAAGTCTCATTCAATCTCGGACAGGGTTTAGATAGGGCAGTGGTAAAGTTAACTAGAGCTAACAGTGAGTTCATTTCAGGGTTTCCGTCAGAACCCACTTGACTGGAGTTGACCGGCGTTGACCGGAGTTGACTGCGAGAGATTGACTGCCGTTTGAGACTGCCGTTGATGATTGAGGGTGGCGATTGTCGCCATTGGACCGATCAGTGTAGGCCTGTCACTGTTTAGCGGGGTAGCAAAGGATCTCTTGAGTGAACGAGTGCTCCCGACAACTAAAACGACGGGACCAGCATCCACAGTGGGTGATCAGTTCTTACCACTCGGGTGCACAACACCACATGTCCCGAGCAGCTTAGTGAAACCCTCTTGCTAACGGGAAGCTAAAGTTTCTCTCAACTGTACAAGGTCTGATTGGCTCACTCCCTTCCGCTTTATGGACGCACTGGGAGTACACTGAGGCTATCTGAGTAAACTAATGGTCACACACTGAGACCGTGAGTCTAGGTCTCTAGGAGATACCTAGAGGAACATCTTCCCTCCCTTATTTCGGGTGTAGTTAACACCATTCCTCAGACTGATATTATCTTGACGTGTGTAGTTTAATAGTCCTAAATAATTTTGATAGTATTGTTTTTGAATGTTTGTGCCATTAAGTGGAACCAGAGTGATACTGTGATTTGATTCTTTTAATGCCTCTAATTGTTCTTCATAATTCTGATCTCAGGTATAACCTTGTTCCCCAGAGTAGTGATTAAGTTAGGTTAGGAAGTGTGCATCTGTTGGGGTGCTATAATTTTGTTGAAAGCCCTTAAGGCCTATTCACTGTAGAGTATTTAATTTCTTATTTTTTATTACCATTTCCTCAGTGACTGATATTATTTTGTTGAAAGCCCTTAAGGCCTATTCATTGTAGAGTAGTTAATTTCTATTTTTTTAATACCATTTCCTAAGTGACTGATATTATTTTGTGAAAGCCCTTAAAGCCTGTTTCATGTGTGCAAGCAACATTTCTTAATACTTCAAATTTATTGTTGCCTGAGTTTCTAATAATTTCTATATCATGTATAACTTTTATTCCCCAGAATAGTGTTGTAAGTTCAAGTTAAGAGGTGGGCATATTGGTGTACCATTATTTGATTGTGTTTGTAGTGTTGGAGGGAATATAAGTGTCTAAATTTTACAGTGTGTCTCATTCATCCCAGTCACAGACGCTATCCTTCCACGGGTCACGGACAATTCATTTTGTTTAGTAGATTTAAGTGTTCTTGTGCTGGTTCGGGATTTTTCTCAAAGGGGCGCTTCCACTGCCATTACCATCTATTAAATTTTAATAAACCCCAAGTCAAGTGAGAAATTAAAGTCCAGTAAATTCCGACCGGTTTATATATATATATATATATATATATATATATATATATATATATATATATATATATATATATATATATATATATATATATATATATATATATATATATATATATATATTTCATTAGCCCAATAAACAGAGTCAAGGAGTGCCTTTATTATCCCGGTGGTCCAGCGGTTAGCGTTCCCCGGTCACAGTTTTGGCTTCGTGGGCCGTGGGTTCGAATCCTGGCGGGCTGAGGTGTTGATTGTATGTATATATATATATATATATATATATGTATATATATATATATATGTTTTTTTTTTCTGGGGTCCCGCAGTGGCTGAGTTGCCCAGGGCCCCGCACCCTCCTAGGGACGGCCCTGATGTACTTAGAATTGGTGTTTCGAAGATTTCCCTTAAGAATATATTAACAGTTAAATAACGAACCGGCCACGCGACCAAACTTTCCTCACTTTACATCCTACAACTATAACTTCTTCCTATACTTTCTACACTTAATTTACCTGTATTACACCATCATCACCACACACCATCACTACCACACACCATCATCACCACCATACATCATCATTACCACCATACACCATCATTACCACCATATTCCATCATCATTACCACCACACGCCACCACCACACACTATCATCATCACATACCATCATCACCATATGCCATCACCACCATACACCATCATCACCACCACACGCCATCGCCAACACGCCATCACCATCACACACCATCACCACCATATGCCATCACCACCACACAGTAACACACCATCACCATCACACACCTTTATCACCACCACCATCACACACCTTTATCACCACCACCATCACACACCTTTATCACCACCACCATCACACACCGTCACCACCACACACCATCATCACCAAACAATCACTACCACACACCAACATCACCACGCACCATCATCACCACCATATGCCAACACCACCATACACCGTCATCACCACCATACACCATCATTACAACACACCATCATCACACACCCTCACCACCACCCTGATCATCACCATGACCACAACCATCACGCTCATCAATACAATAATCACGTCACCAACACCACACACCCAAGTATCTGCTATAATAACAGCGCCTTTGGTATTAATTCCCTGATTGGCACCCTGACTGAGTCCTGTCCGTGTATGTATATAACAATGATTACTGGTGTCGTCGCACCAGTTGTCGGCGGTGACCTGAAGGTGAAGGGG